TGTAAATAATCCTTAGACCTGAGGCACAGTATTGACTTGTGTGTTGGATGGCTACGATTCATAGGTGCGCATATTGATAGTTTGTTGATCCGTCTCTGTACTTATAATTCGTGCACATACAAAGTTACACGTGTGTGCAAAATGGAATCTGCCTCCTTGTTACATGCAAAGTACAATAATGATGTTCTATGCGATCAAATCATGACACTACATTGAAATCATTGGCCGGGGTTGTAATCGAGAATGAATCAATTCCGGATGACGTTGAACAAGGAGAGACGATATTGCAAATATGTTTGCTATCACAGCAATCGATTAGTCGGGCTAAAACTAAATTAAATGGGATTTTATTTTATTTTATTTTTGGTCATGGGCGTGTGTGCATATGATGCACACGAAATCCACACATGCTGATTATATACTCTTATTTTTAATCATTTAAAATTTAAAAGATTAAATGATTAAAAAAATTAAATGTGCACGCACATGGTCAGCAACTTGCTAGCCTTGTGCAGCACACTGTTAGCAAATGTTGGAGACCGTGTGCATCGCACACGAACAGCAATGGTTGCTGTTCGTGTGCACGATCAACAATCGTTGCTGATCGTGTGCACACACGATCAGCAGCAACTGTTGCTTGTCACACATAAGAAAAGGGTGATCATCATCAGTTGCTTAACGTGCAATTATACAACATGTGTCAATGAGAGTTAAGAAGATTTTTCTCTCTTTTGGTGACGTGACTAAAACATCAAGAGTGCAGAGAATTGCCGTCACGAGATTGCTAGCATAATTATAGTGGTGATTACCCACAAGTTCTTTCTTCCGTTTGATGTATATTTGGTTGTGTGTCTGAACTAGAGGTCCAATAGTTATGGGGATCGAACTGAAGAAGATTCGAATCAAGTCGTTTTGGGGATGCTACGAGAGGTAATCCGTTTAACCCTCTATGTTCTTTCGATTTTTATTAAAATGCATGAATAACGCCTTTGGAGATACATGTATGGTTTTGATTTCATTCATGCCTCCGCTGCGTTTATATTTTAATTTAACTATGCATGTTCCGTAAACACCAACAGTCTCAATTATTCTTAGAATGATGATTTCATATGATTATCCTAGGATAATCTAATCACATCATAGTTTAATGTTGAGGATATTCCTCAATCCATGATTGATGTTGAGTTATGCTATGATGGAATTCAATGTAGATTAGAACAAAATTGCTAGAGACTTGCGTTTGTTCAATCAAATTGAACGTCAATTGCATGCGTAGATGAGTTTAGAACTTTGATTCCTTGCTGGTAAAAATGTTTTGTGTGAAATTGATGTGACCCTAGTTTTTTGGTCGGTAGATGTGATCCTAGTTGATCGTTAGCTAATTCAATTAAGATCATGCATGTTAGGTAAGTCTAGCTCAATGTTCCTTAAGAAACATGTTCAATCCAAGCTAATTAGATTAGGTTAGTATCAATTCCTCACAAAACTCATGCTTGCCGAAACTTCCAAAGATGAATTTGATGATGATTTCATTGTCGATTAATCCTTGGTTGTTTAAATTTGCATGAATGTTGAGTTAAGACAACTTGAGTAGATTTTTATTGATTTATTCTTAAGATTTGTTGAATGATGATTAATTTTCATTGAAATTTGAATGTTTGAAGACTTGTTCGAATGTCCATATAGTGAGTTTGAAGAAGCTCTACTTCTCGAAAAATGCTAAGAACATAGGTTGAAGGAGTTTGAATGTTTGAAGATTTCTGAAATTTTGTAGTCTGATATGACCTCTCTGTGTTCTTCGAAGTTTTTGGAAAATTCAATAAGGAATTAGGAAAACTTGTCTTCAGGTGAATTGTAGTTGACATTCATAACTTTAATTTGATATATAGATCATAAAATTTTTAAAACATTATAGTTGTGAAAGTTGTGTACAAAATCACCGAAGAAAATTGGAACTAGATCTAAAAATATTGTTCACATGTCGTGTTTTGCAAATAATAAATATTTGGATGACTAGTTTACAAAAAATTCACAACATGAAAGTTGTAGAGGAGGTCTGGAATTGCAAATAACTAAAATTTCATAAAATTTCACAAGGAATAGGTCGACCAATTTGAATGAACAATATCAAAGTCGAAATGAGACTGAAAAACTATTTCAAATTGAGCCCTCAGGGTACATCTCATGATTACACATAGTAGGAGGGCTTATTTACAAACCTACATAGAAAGAAAGTTGTAAAGCGCGGCGAGAGCTAGCTGCCTGTCAATTTTGGCACCATTTAAAGTTTGTTTACTATTTTTCCCGAATATTTGAAAAATTAGTCAGAAAAGAAAAATTAGGAGTAGTTGGTCTTAATCAAATTTTCTGTATTAATTGAGCCATAATTAGGAAAAGCAATCTTACTAAAAGTTGAAGAGGACACCTAAGCCTTAATTGGAAATTTGACTTCGGTTATGATCGAATTGATATTGTCCTCAATATTGATTAGTGGTGCATGATCCTTTGATGGATAGTTTAGGAATGGAGACTAGAGCTTAATTGGGAGCTTAGTGACTTAACCCACTGCTTGATGAAATGCAAGTGAGGGTTGATAATTACTTGGCATTAATTAACTAACCCCTGGTTGATTACGAAGTTGATGGGTAAGAGAATTGCATGATTAACATCAAATTCCCAAATCAAACTCGAAATTCTTGATTGATGATTGATTGATTGAACTTACTAATGCTTGGATTAGGTGATTGCATGAATGAAGGAATGTGATCTAAAATGGAAATCGGCGGCCGAAAGCTTGAGGAGGCGGTCCATGGTAATTATTAAAATTAGGTTTACTAGCTTAGCTGATAAACATAGGAATTAATAATCAAATTAGCTTAGAGTTTGATTGGTATAGCCTAGCTAGAATTTTAAAAAAAAAAATCAAATTAGACTTAGTATCACCCACTTAATAAACGAGTAACCTAGTTTAGAATAGTCCCATCACTCTTAATAAAATGAATAGAACTTAGGCTCACTTTAATCTAACTCAAATTTAGGGATAAAGATTAGTCTCTAACATCAACCTTATGGGGATCCATGTCCCAAGGCTTCGAACAAGGCAATGTAATATTCTTTGCCTGACTTGGTATCGGGTCAAGCTCATGGGGGATCATATCTAGGGGCTTAGAACAAAGCAATGTAATATTCTTTGCATGACAAGTATCGAGTTTTATTTCTCATACTTCACTTTAGGCTTTTTTTCAGTCAGATAATTAATTCCTGCACTTTCAATACATTGATTGTTATTTTCCTTTTTAAGCGTGGTTAGGATAAGCCTTATGATCATAATAAACTCTTAAAACCAATGCATGAACACGTAGCGACTCAAATGATCTTTTGGATTCATAATTTGTAACCAGAGTTGTTTGATCACTTAGATGAACATCCCAACCAAGTTAGAGGTATCGAAATTGTGCTAATTAGACTATTAGCGTAATCAAGTCTCCGAACGTGGAAAACTCTAGTTGCTTAGAAAGTGAGACAATCTTCCGTGCCTCACTTGATTTCAACATGCCCCGAAAGGCTGGTGGCGACTTCTGTCTCACATAGAATTCTTTAGGATTAATCCAAACTTATATGAACCCAACATTACGTGAGATAAGGGCTTGGGCGAGACCGCACCTAATTGAGGGCCGTCAGCCCGCCTTTTGGGCATTACCTTTAAACCTTGTCCTTTTCCCTCGACGAAAAAGAAAGGGTTGCGATAGATACCAAGGATTCCTCAGGTTGATGAATGGTCGAGGAGTTTCAAATTCATGAACGGAGGGACCCCAAATCACTTTGGAGTAAGCCCCAGTGAGAGGTGATTAAATGGGTCAATGACTCACTTCTAACTCATATTCAGTAAGCGAAGTTATACATCGCTTAGTTAAAATTTTAATAAAGGTTGATATTGTTTAGAGCAGAAAAGCCCAACCGTTTTGATGGGTATCCAACATACCCATTTACAACCCAAATTACTCCAAACTCAGATAACCTATGCATGAGTGTTGCTAGGCCTGAACGCCGGATCCTGAATTGTTGCGAGCCCATTTCAAAGTCAATATGTTGCCGCTATGTGTTTCAGTCATTAAGAACCTTTAACGATTTTATTTTCTCGTTGTCACCAAATAAAGAAATGAGATTTTTTCCTAAAATAAAATTGTCTGAAATAGAGGGGAAGAAAAAATAATTTCTTTCATAAGTCAAATACTATGAGCAAGAGGGGTAAGACAGAAATCAACGAGATGAGGATTGTCTCCCTTATATCCACAAAACAAAAAGTATTTTTTAGGAAAATAATTAGAAGGTGCAGATCTTGAAACTTAAGGAAAATTGTCTAAAAAGTTCTAAACATATTGCACTTTTGCCAAATTAAGTTCTAAACCGTTCAATTTTGCTAATTGAGTCCTAAACATTTTCAACTTTTTCTAATCCATCCGACCAATTTTGACTAGAAATCGCTAACGTAAACGAATTTTAATATTTTACAAATTATTTATTTATTATTTTCTTTTTCTTTTTTTTTTCCATTTTACAACTCTGGCCGGCGATCAGGCGAGGGTCAACAACCTCGCCTATTGGTCGGCGCCATGAGCCCCTTGCCTGCGGCTAGTGAGGGTGTCGTAGCCTTCGCCAGCCAACAAGCGAGGGCCTAATGACCTCGTAGGACGGTTGTGCCACGTAGTACAGCCGGCATTCACGTCAGCGATTTCCGATCAAAATTATCTGAATGGACTCAATTGACAAAACGTGAAAATATTTGAAAATCAATTGGCAAAATTGAAAGGTTTATGACTGAAGTATCAAAAGTATTACAGATTTATCGTGTGCTATAGAATGCGTGGACCAAATTTATAGAGAAGTGGAGATGGTTCACGATTTGATCAAGACTTCTTTGAGAGAAAAGAAGTCTTCAACAACCGGCTCCAACTGCCAGTCAGCGACCCTTCCTGCGTTGCTTCAACTTCCCCATGCTCAAGTTAAAGGGGGTAAATAGTATAAAGAGAGAGGGAAACAAATAGCTTGTAGGCAATTTCCTCGGATTCTCGTCGATGGAGGTTAACAATTCATCATCGTCATCGTCATTCGCATCCTCTGTACGGCCACTGTATGAATCGTCATTCGCATCCTCAGTACAGCCATTGTATGAAGTGTTCTTGAGCTTCAGGGGAGCGCATACGCGCTGGCAGTTCGGGAATCGCCTTGGCACCAGCTTGATCGACGCAGGAATAAGCGTGTTTAGAGACGAAAAGGAGGTCGGGCCAGACAAGGAAATTGACCCTGCACTGGTCGAAGCCATTGAAAAATCGAGGATATCCATACCGATCATCTCGCCGGACTATGCTTCCAGCAAGAGCTGCCTCATGGGGCTGGCCAAAATGTTGGATTGCAGGGACACCATGAACCAAGCCATCATTCCCATATTCTACCCTGCCAACCCCTCTGATATTGGCTCCTTCACGGAGCACAAAAAACGAGGGATTGACGGCAAGCTGCTCGACTCCTGGAAGTCCGCCCTCCATCGCATTGGACAGTTAAAGGGATATCATCTTGACCACTCAAACGACCGGTAAATCAACTCTACTTTCCTTTGCTTGTACCTCCTAATAAATTCCATTGTGAAGTGATTGATGTTGAATCATCAAGTTGTAGATCATCTCGATTTTTGAGGGCCTGCTCAGTAACCAGCCAAACATGATTTCATTTTTTTGTTCCCCGAAACAAAAAAAGAACAGAAATCCGTTTGGTAAATTTTTTGTTCTCGAGTACAAATTTGTTCCAAGAATCAGTTTTGGAACAGACTCAACAATAAAAAAAAAAGTAGATTCTTGATTTTAGGAACAAGAATCAGAAATAGAAGAGATTTTTGTTTCTTTTTCTTCTTTCTTGGTCGGTGGCCGATGACCGGTGACTAGCCACAGGCCAGGGCCGGCGAGGGCTGGATCGTCGCGGCCTGGCGAGGGTCGCCCTCGCCAGATCCGGTGAGGGCGGCCCTTGCCCAGGCCATGAGTGGCGAGGGCGGCCCTCGCCCAGGCCCGAGGGTCCAACCCTTGCCGGATCCATGAGCCAAGGAAAGAGAAGAAAAAAAGAAAAAAAAAAGAAATAAATATTTAAAATATTTAAAATATAAAAAAAATTTGTGCAGTTACCAAACGTATTTCTTTTCTTTTTCTATTCCGTGAATAGAAATTTTGAGCCGGTACCAAACGCCTTCAAATGCTCAAAAATTATTTTCAGAAATAGAATAAAAAAAATCATTTCTGAGCATAAATTGTTTCCGAGAGTAGAATGGTTACCAAACGCACTCTTAGTAGGTTTTTCAAAATCTTTTTTACTTCGCCGCACATCGGAGGTGGGAGAGGAGATGGCCGAGCACTTTTCATATGTCAATCCTGAGTTCGTGGGAGAAACAGGCCGTTTAGATGACTACTCAGACTCTAGTCTCTAGAGACAATAAAAACCCTTGTCTGGTTGCCGGGCCCGACAAAATAATAGATGACCCGAATTATGATTAAGAAGAACTCATGAGGAGCATACACTAATTCCACAAAGTTATACAGACTGTCAATTCTCTATTGTGACTGATTCGATTCTTCATAGTCGTCATTGCCAATTCTCATGTTGCCTAGTCCTCGTTGGTTAGTAATTGGGTATAACTAAACTCGAGTATTCTGATTTCTGCCTTTCTTGTCATTTCTTTCTTTAGATTCCCATGATTGTTTTTGTTGTGAAAAAAATAAGGCTAACCGATCTTACAATTTAAATTTAACGTGAAAAGATGAAATTGCATAAAAATGAACAAGAAATAATAAAGACATAAGAGATTTACGTAGTTCGGTCCGAATTTTAATACGTACTTCATGGGAAGAGCTAGCCACCAAGAAATCAGTATGAATCCGGAGAATACCGAGCTTACAATTGTTCAATAATTTCCCAGACCTAAATCACACCCAATGTAAACCCGCATACACTACTGGAAAATTTCACACGAAGAACTTACTTAGGAAACTCACGAAAAAAAAAAATGCAACACTCCTCTTATTTGCTCTTATGTGTGTTCACAGAGTAGAATTACATCTCTTATATATACATAATTTTGTCTCCAAAACGGGAAACCTAAACCTATTCAAATTATGAAACTACTCAAACTAGGAAACTTACTACGATAAAAAAAATATCCACCTTGGCTCGACGTTTGCAGATCATCCATGCCTCACCCAATGCCCCGACAAGCACTCAATCATTACAACCATAGCTAAGCTCGGACTTCTCTAGAGAAATGAACTCAGTCCACCTGTCTACAAGATTTTCTACCTCAAGTAGCTTCTTCACAATCACATCATCTCTTGACATGCTATATCTGACGCAGAAAAATATGTCACCAATGAACTCGATTGTCCAATGATATCTTTGGCTTCCACTAAACACCAATGTCAACAACACTAACATAATCATTAGATCACACCGCCTATTCAGCTCCTTTCGTTGTCACCATGTTTGCCAATGTAGTTGTCAACAAAACCATTGTATCTCTCGATAGCGCCTTCCAACTTATAGCACAACTCATGGAAGGAAAGTTATAAATGTTCATAAATCGACCATCCTTCAAGTTAGCCATGTTACTTGAGTTCATAAACCCAGTTGTTGCTACACAACCTGAACTGCATCTTCCTAAACATACCCCAACATCTATCATTCCCAATAAAACCAAGAGGATCCACTTCATAGCATCACACTATAAACCTAGATCACCATATACATTCTCCCGATTGCACGTGAAAGATGAAGCCTAGTACTAGCCATGACATAGCTCAGACAACCAATGGTCTAACATTTGAAGCAAGTAGGAAACTTACAGAAGTTCTCGACTGTGTGTGGAAGCGCCTCGACACTTTCCTGACAAAACTCCTCCAAGTCATTAGTAATATTCCAACAGTCTTCACTCTCTTCAATTTCATACCTGAAACTGTCTTTACTACATCCCAATTATCTATTACAATAGTTGTATACAATCATTGCTCTGTCTCATCCACCTCCGCTAACCACCTCGAAGCTTCGTCAACTATTGACCTCAGAACAACTGCCTCATCTACGGTACTCTGCACAGCTCTAGGCTTTCCTTGAAGCTTCACTTGTTTCTGAGCACCATCCGGATCCTTTTCTATAATCAATTCGTCACTCATTCTCTGAAACAGAGTAGATTTGTTAAAGTTAACACCTCTTCTAAACATAAACTTATATGAATCTTTTTCAGTGCGCCGCAGCCTATATCCCTTTGCTTCATGTGCAATTCTTAAGAATATGCACTTTCTCGCCCCGAGCTCTTGCGCGCCACCACTCACACGGGCATAAGCAAGGTAACTAATCACTTTTACTCCAGTTTAATTAGCAGGCTTACCTAACCATGTTTCCTTAGAAGTTTTTCAATCAATTGTTGGTGATTATCATTCAAAGTCATGCACCCAATAATCATAACTAGATGGACTTGTAGTGACGGTTAACATATCATTGGCATCATTGAAATTGTAATTTACCGGAATAACAACATTACCATAGCCTGGAGAGTGCACCTTGACTCCTTTATGGTTGTATTTCGAGCAATCTCTCTTGTAGTTCTCTACCTTATCACAATGATATTGACGATTTTGACCATTGGACCTCAACTTATAACGGCTCTTCCATCTACTACCTCCGGACTCTTTGTGGTCATCTCTGCCTCGGATAATCAAACCTTGCGCTAATTTATATTGTCGTAACTTTTTTTGCCAATCCTTGGAAACCAAGGCAAATTTTACATTTTCCAAGGCAACAGTAGTGTGCCCCTATAGCAATGAATTGGTCAAGTGCTAAAAAAACATTGTAGTGATGCCAACAGCATCATGTCTTGTTTCTCATCAGGCAAGCCCTCGTTAATGTTCTTCAAGTCTATTATGAGTTTGTTAAACTCATTTAGATGGGTTTTAATGGATGTGCCCTCCACCACCCAAATTTGAAACATCCTTTTAAGCATATACAAATGATTGTTCAAACCCTTCGTCAGATAAAGTGCATCAAGTTTTGCCGTGGCATCCCTCTCTCCAGTCACTTCAATCAATTCTTCATCTGACATATTCAACAGGATTATGCTTTTTGCGTTCTTCATCAACTCTACCTTATAGGCGTTTTTCATTGTTTTGACAATTTATCCTTGACATCAAATGTCTTCGCCAAATTTTGTGTTGCTGATAGAGCACGCATCTTAAAGCTCAACAATCCCAAGTTGTTCATCTCATTGAACTTCTCAATCACAACTCTTGCTATGGACATAATTGCAAGCACAATGTTTCTAGAAAATGATCAAACAAGCAAAAGCTCCAAATGAATCTGGAAACTATAACCTTAGCTCTGATACCCGTTGTTGTGAAAATAATGTGGAAGCTATTGAATGTTGCAATTTAAGTCTAATGCAAAAACGAAGAAATTAAAAGAAAAGTCAACAAGGAACAATAAGGACATAGAAGATTTACGTGATTCGGTCCGAGGGTTGATACCTACTCCAACGACCAAATTCAATACATATTCTCAACAGTATTCATTTACTCATTTTGATTGTTAGGGATGGCAGGCTTATATCCGAGCTTGTCTTGTATGTCACTCGGCAACTCAAGAATGCTGAACTAGTTGGTACTACTTCCATGCTAGTCGGAATCGATAATCAAATCCGCGAGATGATGACAAGGCTTGACATTGACTATTCCAATGGACAAGCAATTGAAGTACGCCGCAATGAGGCTCGAATGGTCGGAATACATGGAATCGGGGGGATTGGGAAAACGACTCTTGTAAAATTGATATACAACCAACTATGTCCTCTGTTTGAAGGCTGTAGTTATCTAGGAAACATCCGAGAGATATTGAAAACCGAGTCCCTGGAGCATCTGCAAAGCCAACTAGTTTCTGACCTGCTAAAACAAGAACCCATAGGCTTGGGTTCCTTAGAGGAAGGTATTTATTATATCAAACATAGGTTTCGCAGTATGAGAGTTCTCATTGTGCTCGATGACGTCGATGAGAGGAATCATCTCAAAGCATTTGCCGGGAAGCTAAGCTGGTTTGGTTCGAGAAGTAGGATAATTGTAACGACAAGAAACGCCGATCTTCTTAATATCCCTGATGTGGTTGTGACTTATGAAGTTGAGCCTATGGAGATTGATCAATCCATTCGTCTTTTCAGTCTACATGCTTTTGGAGGAAGTTCTCCCAATAAGGGCTATGATGATCTGTCCAGGGACATTGTTTCCACAACTAGAGGGCTTCCTTTAGCAATTGAGGTCTTAGGTTCATTTCTGTACAGAAAAACCAAAGAAATATGGCGTGCGACGTTACATGAACTAAAGAAAGAGACAGTTGATTCCGTCCAGCAAGTGTTGATGACTAGCTATGAATCTCTAGATCAAGGGACAAAAGATATATTTCTGGATATTGCTTGTTATTTTATAGGAAAGGACAAGAGAATTCCTTTCTACATGTGGGAGGACTGCGGTTTTTATCCTTGTACGGGTATCGAGAGTCTCCTTCTCACGTCCCTGGTGAAAATCGGAGAGAACAACGAGCTCTTGATGTATGATCTGTTAAGAGACCTTGGTCGAGAAATTGTCTCCAAGGAAGACCCCGCTAACCATGGAAGGCGCAGCAGACTGTGGAATCATGAGGAAGCCTGCGATACCTTAAGGAGTAAAAAGGTAAAAATATTCTTGTTTTGGAATTCTTTGGATGCCATACATCCTTTCTGACTGTAACCACTAGAATTCACCTAATCTTTTCTTCATTCAATACACAGGGAACGAAAAGGGTTCAAGCCATCCGTCTCAAGTTCGCCAATGGTTCAAACAATTGTTTCACACGTGAAGAATTTCAAAGACTGTCCAAAATGAGATTCCTCAAATTGGACAAGGCAAATATCCGGGGAGATTTCACAAATCTACTTTCCAATTTAAGGTGGCTCGACTGGCAAGGGTGCCCCACGACCTTTGAAGCCGTGAACTTGCATCTCAAGAAATTGGCAATTCTTGATTTATCGTGGAGCAAGGTCACTCAAGACTGGGAGGGTTGGAGTCAAATCAAGGTGACATGGAACATATCTCATTTCGTTTCGACTCATCACAGGGAATTAACTTTGCGTAAAAAATATTCTACTTTGGATTGCAGATGCCACGATTGAAAGTTTTAAACCTCACAGGGTGTAATGAAATGCTGATAACTCCCAACTTCTCTGGTTACCCGCTGTTGGAGATGTTGATTCTCGAAGGCTGTTTTCAATTGGTCAAGATAGACCCTTCGATTTGTCATCTAAGATCCTTGGTTTCCTTGAATTTAAAATCCTGCAGCAATCTTAGTATGTTGCCGCCAGATATAGGTAAGATGGAAGCGCTGCAAGAGCTTCTCATGGATGGCACTTCTATACAAGAAATCCCTGTGTCGATAGCTCGTATGAAGAAACTCAAAACTATTAGTGCCTCCAATTGCTACTCATTAACTTACCTGCCCAAATCCATTGGCTATATAGATGCTCTTTCGATGCTCTTGCTGGACAATGTGAAGATCCCTGAACTCCCCAATTCAATCGGAAGTTTGATGAAACTTAAACGGTTGTCTTTGAGGGACTGCCGGGGGATACAGAAACTTCCAGAATCTATTGGCAAATTAGGATGCTCATTGTTGGAGTTGGACATATCGGGGACACTTATTTCGGAATTGCCTGACTCCATGAAAAACCTGCGGCTACTGAGAGTTCTTAAGATGGAGCGTTGTCATGTGAGACAGTTTCCTAGTGCCATTGGCAGGCTAAGGAAACTTGAAGAGATCCATGCCTCCCGCTGTAGGAGTTTGGAGGGAAGCATTCCTAGTAACATTTGGAATCTACAAGTCCTGAAAACATTGATCCTAGGATATAGTGGTGTTTCTAGCCTACCATCATCAATCCAGTCGCTAAGCCGTCTCCGGACCCTTGATTTACTACCTTGTGATAAGCTTGAAATGTTGCCGATGCTTCCCTCAAGTTTGACTTGCCTGCGAGTAAGTTCAAAGAAGATGAGCATAATCCCTGATATTCAGAACTTAGTTGAATTGGAAGTCTTGAGCTTTGGGAATGAGAATCCCAAGGAGCTAACAGTTCCTCCTGCGGCAATTGATGCCAGATCCACTTGGACCAAGCAGCAGTCTCTTTGGCCTGTAAGGTTTCCGAAGCTCAAGAGCTTAGAGTTGTTTCACTCCAAAATCATCAATTTGGGATTTGAATATGGGTCTGCATGCGTTCCTCAGCTCAAGAAAGTCGCCCTGACTGGCACGAATCTTCAAGGAGTATCGGGACTTCCCTCATCGTTGTCCGTCCTGTCATTCCAAGCTTGTTTATCGCTGAAGAGCTTGCCATCAGTACACAATTTGATTTACTTGTCAGAGCTAGAGCTCTTGAACTCAGCTGTCCAAGTGATTAAAGGGCTCGGAGGGCTAACAAGCCTGGAGATCCTGGTCATTTCAAATTGCTGGATAGAACATCTCGACGGCCTCTCCAAATTGAGATCATTGAAGAGATTGTCTCTCAGGAACTGCAATTCTCTCAACAACTTGCCCGACGTATCTGATCTCACCATGTTGAAAGTCCTGGAAATCCATCGGTGCCGGTTGATCCACGACATCGAAGGCCTTGAGGGATTGACATCCTTGGAGGAGCTGCACGTGAGTAAATGTAAGGCTAAAAGGTCATCAAGAGTAAGACAAGCCCAGGAGAGGATCAGAAGACGTTTGAGGACATCCCCTTGAATGTGATCATCGTGTCATATGATGTGTGTCGGGACTTTTCCAGAGGTGATGGCATTACTAAGTGGGCACGAACAGTTATTCATCAAAGAGATACCATCACTTAGCGCGGACTCTCCCAAGTCCATATCAATCGCAACTTTGATCTTAATTAAAGACCAAACAATATATGCATGATTTAGACTGATGCAATTAATTCTTTTTGGGTTTTTCTTGTTTAAGTTACTCTATACATGTAAGCTATACCAATGGACAAGGATTATTTCCTAATAGAAGTGACTCTATTCATGTAAGTGACAAGATTACTAGAAGATTTGATTGTATGGACGAAAGGATTTCTAGTGATTTTATGGCAAATCTACAATGGCTAAATTGATTACATTGAAGATCATTCAACGGTCATCTCAAAGATCTACAACTATATAAGAGAGCACTACAAGCTGAAGAAACTATACACATGAACTACAAAAACTTTAAGAGTCCGATACATTGTGTTAACGAGAATTTCATTTATTGAGAGTGATATACTAATTGTAAACAGTACGAGTGTTGTATTAGACTTTATATCGGTGGTGTGATCCACCTTTTCGCGCAAAAGTAGAAGCAGGCTATGCTTGTATCTACTCACAGAATGACCGATGGAATCTAGCCTGTTAGTGATTATTAGTCTAGGAGAGTGGAAGTAAGCTTAATCTAAACTGAACTACTATAAATCTGCGTGCATCTATCTCTAGTTCTCTACTAATTATTTTAATTGTTGGGTAGAAGCATTGCACATGATACTTTTAGCTTATATTAGCAATATAAAACTGTTCCTGCAAATATCAAATTGATTTTGTTTATTCCGCAAAAAATCTTGGCAATAGTAGCTAAACTATATTATCATATGGTCTTTTTGTCTCATAAAAATTTCTAAGCATGTGAAAAATCAGATCATTTCAGTGAAAAAAATTTCCATTATTTGTCGGATCAAGCAAATTAAATACCTTAATGTGGTTAATATCTTTATTGTTTAATATTTCAAATCTATGTGTTACACGGCATTGCTGGATTCACTCCTTTAGTAGAAAAGATCAACTGAAAGTTTCAGTCAATTTCATAAAAAAGAAAAAGATCAATTAATCGCAGCACTGATAAGATTTGTAGCTCCAACGCTACAGATAAGAAAATCTTCTCGACCCTAAGCCAAAACAATAATTCCAAATGAACAGACTTTATAGTAGTGTTCGGTCTGGTTTGATTATAGGTCTTCATGTATTTCTACTCATTTATTTTGATTCTATGATTCTATTTTGAACTTAACCCATTACTTCAATCCCCGTTTTGATTTCCTGAAGGCTCCACAGCTGGAATGTCCAAACAGCATCCAGTTGGCCTTCAAAAAGTCTTTGCTAAGTATAGCCCATTTAAGTCTCTTGTCTCTGCGAGCGATCATCCCATCAATGATTGGTACTTAAAAGTCAAATGAACATTTTCAGATAAAAAAAAATCTAGTTCTAGTGCAGCTACCATTCTTTCAAGAAGTGTCGGTCTAAACCAAACTTTCTCTCCCATGATCGTTGGAACCTCGGAATTAGAGAAAGTGCACAACCATGATAAAATTCTGTAAGATTCAGTAGTCAGATTTACTGTTCTACTTGAAGGATTATTTTGCTTTGCTTTACATGAGGTGCAGGATCCATGCCATTGTAAAAGTTTCTATATGACACATGGGAGAGATGAATACAATCTCACGCCAAGGACACACAAAGAAGACTTTAGTGCATATCACGTTTGAGTACTCAAGATTCTTGGCCAGACTGGTGATAAGAAAAAAAATTAACTTCTGGGATCACAATGCAGAAAGGACGACAAAGTCATATGAGGTTTACACAGTCACATCTAATTGATTAAATAATTACTCGCATTTGTTGTTTAGTAGACAGAAAGCAACAGACTCAGTACAAATTGATTAAACAAATTGAGGTCCCCACAATCGCAGCTTCATTGTTGCGCTATTTCTCCTCTAGCACCGTCATCCCCATGGCTGCACCAACAACCATAATTTTTCCATCCGAGTCCCAATTTTTCTAGTCAATTGAGCGAGCGAGAGAGGATGACGAACTTGACTTAGTGAGAGCAACAGAGACGGCAATGATGAGTGAGCGATAGTGACCAAGAGTCGTTTGGGAGTCGAGCGAGCGTTGAACCACAGTGAGCGTTAAACCACGGTGGACCTCTGAGCCCTATTTTGACATCCCCAGTGTGACGTTGTTTTTGGATCGGATGGGTGGACTGGATTGAGCGACGTTTTGCACTACCCAGCCACATCGGATTGAGTGACATCGTTTTACACGTCCACATGAACTAGATTTTTTAAAAATATGCCAACTCACATTAAAATTTTAATTATAAGAGCCACACAATTATTTTGGTCGGAATTTCTCGTCGAAAGTACTTAAGCGATCGTTTTTTTCCTTCAATTTGGCAATTAAGTGAGTTGATGAAAATTTTTTGCACTAAAGTGAATGCCATACAAAACTTTTGATACTTTTAGTGTCATTTTGCCATTTCATGTTGGTTTCTAAGTTGTAATAATCAAAAGAGTATCTAATTAGGAAGTATAGATTAACTTTCATGTAACTAGTGCGTACGATGCTTCGATGTTGGTAGACTTGTCAAACGAGTGGGGCAGTTGGGGCAGTTAGGTTTGGTTTGTCCCAAATTGACCCATTTACCCCGTTTTCATGCAATATATATCTAGTGATCCATACCCGCGTCAATCCGACCCATATTGCTAAAACACTTCTATATTTAACCAAATTTAAGAAACTTCGTACCCAAGCTAAGGTGAAAGCGCGGAGTAAGCAAGCACAAGATCGAGAGAGTCATAGAAGTGAGTTGGGTCTAAGTAAGTTGTGAATCCATTTAACATCCCTATTAAACTCATTTATGACTCATAGAGTTTGGTTTAAACCTATTTATGACCCGTTAATTGAATATAACTAACACATATAATAACTTAGCCTATGAAATTTGGGTTAAAAAATGTATATTTTGACAGGTTTAGATGTTGGATAAGCACCATGATTTTGAAGATTTTACTGCGTCTTCGGTTTAGACGTGTCTTCTCATCTAATCGGTGCTAGATCAGAAAACACGTCTGGCTGGGAGAGGCCACGAGGTGGGACCCCACCACGACCACCACCACCCCCGACCGGCAAAGCAACTAACGGCACCATTTTCCCATTTTCTTAAGGACTTTTTAATATTTGGCATTTTACATATTTCGATTTTTTGGGATAATTTTGGTTCGATAATTTACTAAACATCTCCAAGAGGGCATAAACTTTCAAACCACCCCCAAAAAGGGACAAAAGAAAGAGCACGGAAACATTCAAGCACTCCCGATGAGTCAGGAAATCATAATCAATGAAACGGCGTCACTTTGATTGTACGATAAAACGCCGTCGATCGAAGATATCGGCTAGAGAGGCGGATCGTATTTCTTTTCGTGATGATTGAGGCGGATCATCCGTGGATTATGTCGATGTCTTTGTTTCGTTGTCTTGAATTTTTATATGGTTTGCGACATGATACGACGAGGTTTTGTTCACTTTGGATGCTTTGTCCATAGATAATTCAATGAGCTGACGTTATAGTGTTGGGTCTGGCTTGATTATGGGTCTTTATGTTTGTTTATATCTAACCAATTGGATGAATCACTCCTAAAGGGTTACATCCGAATGGCGCTAGTTGATGAGATGGTTATCAATTTTGATTTTATTATTCTATTTAGAACTTAGCCCATTTATTGAATCTCCAATTTGATTTTTTGAAGGCTCCTGCTGCTTGGAATGTACGAAAGCTTCAGAAACTCTTTGTTAAGTGCAGCCCATTTATGACTTCTGTCTCGGTGAGTGATAGCCCTTCAATGATAGGTACTTAAAAGTCAAATGCAAGTTTCCAGGTTAAAAAAAAAACTATTGCTAGAACATATACCATTCTTTCAAGTAATGATTTGTACTTAAAAGTCAGATGCACGTTTCCAAGTAAAAGAATTCTGATTCTACAACTACAATTCTTCCAAGCCATCGGTCTTACTTGAGTGATCAGCCCATTAAGGATTGGTACTTTCTAAATAAAATTATTCTAGTTCTAGAACAACTATATTTTTTTAAGAACTGTCAGTTTTACCTAAATGATTAGCCTGTTAATAATTTGTGCTTACAAATACAAATCATGTACGTGTTTCCAAATAGAAAATTTGGCTCTAGAACAACTATCACTTATTTCAAAAACTGACAATCTTACCGAGTGATAAGCTCATTAATGATTGGCAACTGCCAAGTCAAATGAGCGTGTCTTGATAAAAACACCCTAATACTAGGACACCTAATATTCTTTCGAGGAGTGTCGGTCTTCACCGAGTGATTAGCCCATTAATGATTGGTAAGTAGAAGGAATGCGTGCTTCCGATTAGTTTAGAACAAGTACTATTCTTTCAAGAATTATCAGTCCTACCTGAGTGATTAGCCCATTAATACTTGTCACTTAAAAGCAAAATGCGTGTTTTTAAAGGCAAAAAAAAATCCAAATCTAGACCAAAGATCTTTCTTTCAAGAATTGTAAGTCTTACTTAACGTGCAATGTGGTCCCTGAACTTTTAATTTGTTCAATATAGTTACTGAACTTTTACCCAATGTGCAATGTAATCAATGAACTTTTACTATGATCAATGTGGTCCCTGAATTTTTTGTAAATGTTCAATATAGTTCTTGAATTATTATATTCCTAGACTCAATCTAGTCCCTAAATTATCTAGTCTATGAACAAAATTGAACATGTATCAAAAGTTCGAAAATCACATTGAAAAAATTAAAAGTTCAGGGACCACATTGCATATTAGGTTAAAGTTCATGGATCACATTGAATAAATTAAAAAATCAGCGATCATATTACACAATGGGATAAAGTTTATGGACTATTTGTGTCATTTTCCCAAAGTCAAATGCACGTGTCCAAATGAAAAAAATCTAATCATGAACAACTATCATTCGTTTAAGAATGGTTGGTCTAACCCTGTAGTCTCTCCGTCAAACCTCAGAATTACAGAAACCAGGTGCACAATCACAATCAATTTCTAGACCTTTTCGTCGGATACGCTTTTTCGTACATCGAAGAATTGTTTTGCATTCGTCTTTACATGACGTGCAGAATCTACGCCAGCATAAAAGTTTTCATGTGATGCATGGCTGGGATAACAGGGATGTCACTTCTTCACATGTTGGACAGACAAAAGAGGAAAGAAA